GTGAGTTGTTCATAGACGTAGACAAATAAAAAAGTTATCCATGCAGATTTTTTTCTACTCACCGTACTATAAAAAGAAACTACACGCTCTTTCTTATGTGTGAAGGGAGAAAATAACTTACTATAGGACGGTAACGGTTCAACTCGAGGCATTGGTTCTTTAATATCAACCTTGGTAAATCTTTATCTAAAATATATCCATTGTATTATCTCATGCGATTTATATCCTGCATAGAGAAATTGCACCAAAACATACCTATGAAATCTACTACGACTCTTTCTTCATAGAAATTGACTTAAACTCTCAGTTGTGCTGTGATACATATTTAGCATAGGCGATGTAGTTTCGTCGTCATCGTTGTGTTTTGTTATTTTACCTCTTAAAATGTATCCTTGTCTCATAGATCGTGTGCAAGCGCTACTATCACCGCATATTATAATTCATCGGTCTTTTTTGACGAAAAGTGAGAAAATATTTGTTTGTTTTAATGTGATCAGTTTTTATAGTGTTGTTCATAATAAACTGCTCATTACATATAACATTTGTAACGAACGCATAAATGAATCATTTTAAAAACGCTATGATGATTTTAGAACAATATTACAAAAATTTTAATTAAAATTTAATGGTGATGAAAGCACTTTTAGTATAAACGAGTATGATTTATGGATGGTTAACTTTTTTTACCATGCATGTTAGAAAAGCAGTGAAAACGTTTCTACGTACGATGTAAAAACCTCATGGGAACAATCATGCATAAATTATTCACTACATAGAAGGTAGACTACCTAAAAGAAATTAGAGGCACAACTCTGTAAAGTCTGAAAACATCAAGATTTCTGCAGACGCAAAGTGTTTCTACCTGTGCAAAAAAAAGAGTTGTGAGTTCCCGATGAAATAATTTAATCATGCAAAAACGTCTAGTAGACACATAATGGATGTCAACAATTTTTTTTCTTGAATCAGAGAGAGATTTTTTAAAGCATATCTGTGAGTAAATGTCAGGAGATCCTCTCAGTTGTCATAAAATTTACATTTAGATTAAAAAAATTTGTAAAATTTATGAATACGTCTCTAATTCCAGGTAAAACATGTAACAACAACGATAAAACAATAAAACATCGCTTTCATCTTCATCTGATTTAAATAACAACCTTTTCATCTTTCTGATATATTATTTCTGAAAAATAATCTCTGGATAATTGAAAAGGTTGCTAAAAATGTGAAATGTTTAAAAACAAAAACAGATATTATATTGAACATATACTCTCTGTCACAAATAAAACGGTCGTCTAAAAAATGACTTCAAATGGACAATGCAATGAAGTCTTGATATAATAGACCATAAAATTTTGGATTAGTTTTTTGCCTAATGCAGAGACATTTGTGATTTTATCGCTGAACTTGTATCAAAATTAACTAAGAGATGATTGAAATTGATGAACTCTTAGGTTAGACCAAATCCTTGTACCCATAAATATGTCTTCTATAACTTTTTTCTTTGAGCATTTTCTATACTAAGACTACAACACTTTTATCATCGAAGTTAAAGTTTTAAGACAATCAATATAAGTTTAGTACTGAAAAGAACATTTTGCTTCGATTGAGCTGAGCTTTGTTAGACTATCATCTCATTACAACTACAATAATATAAAAAAATGAGTCAGTTCTTTTTCGTGTTTTAATGAAAAGTGTTTTCTTATCAAAGGTCAAAATAGACTTTTTCAGATAGCATACGATTGTGTGTAAACACAGTCTTTTATAGGCACAAAATGTGATACAGAATTTCTTTAGCAACAATGCACACTGAATGCCGAAGAAGTTTCGATTGTACCAAGAGATGATTGGTACCCGACGCCAATTTTTTTTTTCAATCATCATTTTGTTTTATCAATCAACATCACAATATAGCACTGATACTTCTCAATCATACTTCTGTTGGTACAAAGTATTTGTAATAAAAAAAATTAGTTGTATTGATCAAATAAATTTTAATACAAAACGGATTTGAAAAAGTGTATTGCTTCTTCGGTCAAAATTTATTGATATTTGCTAAGCACAGGTATTCACCAGTGCTAGCCAATATCAATGATCGATGGCATGCCATGCGCATCGATGCACACTAAAATTATTCTTTTTTGTAGAATGGAGTAGACAAACATGCGACAAAACGGTTACGAAAAGAACCTGTCATTTCAACTAATGAACGTTTGTGAAATATATCCCGAAGGACCCACCCTTGTTTTTGTTTTACTCTTTCCGAGTAACAAAAAAAAAATTGTTACATTTGTCATGATCAACAGCAAATTTTTTCTTTACTCATCCTTGAAGTTTGTTTCCTCCTAGTTGTTGTTCTTAACTTGACATATTTGTTGCGTGCAACAATTTTAACGAATTATTGATTAGTGGCAAGTCGAACATAGTTTCTCTCTCTCTCCTCTTCTCCTTATTTCAAAAACAAAACTTATTTGTATAGATTATTAAAAAAGATACGTGCAAGTTTTACTAATGCTTCTTATTCAGTCTAGAAGAGGTCATCATCTTCTCTAGTTTTTAATCATGTCTTCTTATCTGAGTTTCAATGTCGGATGTTCAAGATTATATAGAACAATATAACAAAACGAGAAAGAAAAGAGGAAAAAAAATTAATAATATCTGTAATAATACAAGAGGTTGCCTCATTGAAAATCTGAAGAATAGAGAAGAAATAAATTTGTTTGTTTCTTTTTTGCATGTTTAATAAAACCAACAACAAAAATTTTTTGTTTTGGGAAAATCATTACAATCAATGATACAAATCTTCTCTTCTGTTTTTATTTTTAAAGAAAAAAATGATGAATTTCTTCTCCTCTCGCTAAAGCATAAAATTTCCTATAGACAGAAAGAGATATAATTTTTAGTCTTTTTTTCCATTTTGAACTCCGGTAATAGGTTTGCGACTGGTTACGAACATATTTAGATTTTTTGTTGACAAATCTTCACATATGTAAAGAACGCTAAAAAATCAATTTTACCCGAATAAAAATATATATTTGTTTAAAGATTATTTTGTCTCACACATTGAACAAGTTAGTTCTTTACATTCAACATAGAAAATATTTAGTTTTTTTACTTTAGTCACATATTTTTAGAACGTAATGAGTTTTGATCAAAGAACAAAGAACATCAAAATATGGTATTATACTTTTAACTAACTATATTTCATAGAAGTGAGCATTTTATTTGTGTCTTTTTCTGTGTAAAAAAAGGATTAAAAACTTTGTTGCGGTACCTTTTGTCTTCGAAATTCATTTATTCATTTTCTACTTGAATTCATTCTTGTTCTTAAAATGCAGTCTTCTGTATCTAATACTAGAAGTTTGCCATTTCCTCATTTCGTTTATTAGGGCACTCTAAGATGGGCTTGTTTTTCATCCTTTTTTTTTTTTTTTGCTCTAAAATTACATCAATTTAAAAAATATTAGAAAAAAATTTTAATTGAAACCTAACTCTGTAAAAATAGCTGTTAGATATCATTTATTATTTTTTTTCTTTAAAATTTTTTCTCAACTCGTTATTTGCGGTTGCGCAATGAATTTAATGCTTTCAGAAAATAATTATACCATTAAAGATTTTTTTTTTCACATACATACAAAGTAACTGAGTTATTAAATTTTAATTTTTTCATAGAAAAAGAGTTGTAGGAATCAAAAAAAGGAAAAGTGTCGAAAACTCGTTCGAGCTCTCTCATCAATTTTTTTGAATAATGCAACACACAAAAAAAAAAGAAAATACAAGGAATTCATGGTTGTGCACACCTTATGCTGATTATGTACACCGTTTGGAAAATAAAAAAAAAAAAAAGAAGAAAAGAAACAAAAATAAATCCAAAGAACTAAGAGACGGAATAGAGAAGTTCTAAAAATATGAGAAGAAGAAAAACGAAATACTACTCGGTAAAATAGAAATAAAAGCGAGTAAGAAACCTTTATGTTTTACTGTCTATTAAAAAGAAAATGTAGTTAGATATTATTACAACTACATGCCGACAAATTTATATTATCATTCACAGGAAAAAAATGCATATTAAAACTTCAGACGTAAACGCATAATAGAAATATATTGTAATACTAGTTCTGCCTCTCTTAAATACAGCAGTAATGTAGTGATGGTGATAGTCTTTGAAACAAAACTCTAAGAATAAGAAAAAAAGGAGAGAAGACTATAAAGAATATTTTCTTTTCAAAAAGATCCTACTACAGAAAATACATTACTAAAGAAGTTTTCAATTCTCAATTGTCTTTTGTATATACACATACACATAACGCTATTACAACAATGGAAAAAGGCCGAAGTACGTGACATAGATTTATTATTTTTAGATATTTATTATTTTTTACACTTTTTTTCTATTTTATCATCGATATTGATCCACACACATGATGGTATAGTGTAGTTTTTAAACTGAAAACCCAGGTCCCAAAAAGAGAAATTCCTGTTCTAATATTTTATTTAGCTATCATAAAGTAAACTTTCTAATTTGAATGAAATATAAATATGTCTTGTAAATGTTCTTTGGAGATGGACAGTACAAGCAAAGTTTTTCTTTTTGTTTTTGGACTATGAACGTTTGACACATGTACAATTCTCTTCTCTTAAATTACTTTTCTTTGCTATTCAGAAGTTGAACAAAATTTTTTCTATCATTTTTTGCTTATCATATGTGATAATTTATCTAATTGCACAGTCTGTATGACTGTTTAGGTCTTTAGCGGTTATGTACAATAATAATCATTATTACACATAATTGACCAGTTTAATGTGATAGTAACTAAATTATTGCTGTTTGAATACAACTTTTCTAGCATATACAAAAATTTCATTTGTTGTTCTTTTTCAGTTATGAGATATATGAAAGTACAAGAGATTTTCTAATAGAAACAGATACAAGTAGAATATTTTTATTGTCACAAAAAAAAGGAGAAACTATGATGTGAAAAAAGAAAAAAAAAAGAAGAAAAATGGCCGCCGATAATCCTCGCATACCATTAATCAACTTGAATGCAACTGGTGGGAATTTAAAATATACCGAACTAAGGCATCAATCACCATCAGTAGCAAAGACGGATGCACATAAACCATCAGCAACACCACCAGCGACCACCATCAATATACCAACGAAGATAATAGTTCACAATGAGAAAGTAATATCAACCCCGAGTACATCAGTGAACGATTACGATCTTCGCCGTTTACCCACTCAACAACGTCGATTCGTTAAAAAAGCAATGATGGCAAATGTTGGATATCGACTAGCAAAACGAAAAGATCTTCATATTAAACGACGTCTGATATGTGATATTATGTGTGCCATTGGTCTATTAGGAATATTTTTAATGATAATTGAAAGTGAACTCACATTTAATCGACTCGATCATAAAGATACAACCGTCAGTCTTCTAATAAAAGCTACAATTACATTTACGTCAATAATTTTATTTGGTCTTGTCTTCTATTATCATCGCTTAGATGTCAATTTATACTGTGTGGATAACTCTATTGATGATTGGAGAATCGCATTGACACGTTCAAGATTATTATTAATTATTTTAGAAGCACTTGTCTGCGCTATTCATCCGATACCCGGTCACTTCCTTGTTGAATGGAGTTCTCAATATGTTCGTGGTTATACAAATCCCAACTTAAATCCGTATCAATCATCACTGCTTAGTCCAATAGTGAGTAACTTTTCATTAACAACAATAGTGAATGAAAACTCTAATAATGATAATTCGGCAACATCATCTGTCTCCTATGTGCCAATTGATGTAATGCTGTCGTTGCCAATGTTTTTAAGGTTATATTTATTGTGTCGTTTAATTATGTTGCGTAGTCATCTTGTTCGAGATGCATCATCACAATCATTGGGCTATTTAAATCGAGTGTCATTTAATTTTCGATTTGTTATTAAAGCGTACATTACAAAATCACCAGCTTTCTCATTAATGTCATTTTGTATCACGTCCTTCTTCATTGCCAGTTGGTCACTGAGAGCATGTGATTACAATATTAAAACAGGTCACATGCGAATGTTGGATGCAATGTGGCTTTTTATTGTCTCATTTGCAACAATTGGTAAGTTATCTTGATTCTAATAGCAAAAATGCATCTTTGGGATTTCAGATTATGAAGATTTTGTGACAGTTCTCGCGGTGTATCAGCGAAATATTTAAGATTTTCACAGAGCAAATGCTGAAACTTAATAGAAGACGATAGATCGCTCCTGATGTACTAACTTCAGGATTCAGTCTGAATCCTTCTACCAAAAATTTAGAAAAGTTATCTTGTATAATAAACGTCTTTTTGTTTTGATCACGGAAAAAAGGCTATTTTTTTTGAAAAACAGTGAGACACACGTAATTTTTCTGCACATTTAGCTATTCTAGTTTTATTATAACGTCGATTCTTCAGAATACCTTCTTGAAGAAGAAGAAGAGTAATAGTCTACGATGGTGATACATCATTAATTATAGCAGATTTTTAATTGAAATTTTAGTTTTATGCATGACGCTGGTTATAAAGCAATGAACTGATGATGAATATAATATTTAAGTTAATTAAAAACAGTCCAACCAGTCATCTACATAGATGAAATACATTTCAACAAGTATCTAAGACTCGAAAGACCGTAAAATCTAATAATGTTTGATGAGTAATTTTTTTCAATTCACGTTACTTCAGGCAATCAATATAAGTGGCTCACTAGTACTTTACATTGCGAACATTGCAGCACGGATTGAATCCTTTAAATTGATGTAATTATTAACTTTTCCTATTTTCTAGGTTATGGTGATATTGTACCATCAACGTACTGTGGACGAGGTAATTCTATTGAAATTATTTATACTTATTTTTAATCAAAAATAATTGATAAATATTTGTTCTAGGCATTGCCGCAATATCCGGTTTAATTGGTGTTTTTTCAACAGCATTACTGGTAGCTGTTATTTCACAAAAATTGGAATTAACACGTTCAGAAAAATATGTTCATAATTTTGTAACAGATATTGATTTGGCTAAAAGACATCGACATGAAGCGGCGAATGTTGTAAAATATGGCTGGAAGGTTTGGTTTCTGAAACGAAAAGGAAAACATATGTTTATTGATTATATTAAAGCGCAACGAAAATTATTAACATCTATACATCGTATTCGAAAAATAAAACATGAACAACGGAAACTAGGTGATAATTGTATAACACTATTAGAAGTATATAATTCACAAAAACTTTCAAATGTTACTACTGACGATGTATCACAAAAAGTGATTAGTATGGAACGTAAAGTAGATCGTATTGAAGACAAACTGATAACAATGAATATAAACTTACAATCAATGCAAGATACAATGAATATTATAATAGATAAATTGAACTAATGATTATTACCGTTGCTATTTATTAATAAAATTTCTGTTTGCTGTTGTTGTTGCTGATGTTTTATTTTACTTCTTAATGTGCATATAAATAAATGACATTTATTCATTTTATGAAATTTCTACTGAATATTATATGATCATGAATTCTGATAAGATAGTCGTTGTATTTCTACATAGATCCCAATGTTTTCTTTCTTAAGTGTTTTAATCTCAAAAATAATTTTATTTAAATAAAACTTTTAGTTGTATCGCGCAAAATTTCTTGTATATGAGTCATACACATCGCTAATTTCTTTTCGTATGTAATATAATAACGAATATTTGAGCTTGACTAACTAAAAAACAATGATATATTCCTGATTTTAAATTAATTTTGAATAATTCTAAAAAAAGACAAAAGACTCATTCAAAATGAATATTTGGTGGTATATCAATTGTCTTAGTAAGTATACATTTCTTCTGAATTGGTTTCGATTAAAATCAATGTCCAATTGTAATTGTAATTATTGAATTTTGATGCCTCTAATCACATATTTACGATTTTTATTATTAATTAAAGTTTTTAAAGAGATTGATTACGTTTTAATTAAATTAGTAGGATAATTAATGTATCTACTATTTGTAGTCTCACTCCTTTTTGGTCAACAACAAGCAAGCATTGTGAGTATGAAAAGTGTTCTTAGTGAATTGAATAGAGAACAAATTATTGATTTCAATCAATATATATTAAATAAGTCTAAACATAGTATATTCGATGAAAAAGCTCAAAAACAACTTGATATTAAATATTGGTTTGATAATAGAGAAGAAACGTATCAAAATGAAAAGTTATGGTTTGATAAAATGATGGTTAGCCATTCGTGTTTGTTATTATGTTATAAACATAGTCGAATGTTTTATCTGTTAATAATCCGGCTCTCGATTGACTATTGTAAAGACTTCTGTGATTATGATAAAAACGACTTAGTTATTCGCTATACTCAAAAGAGTCAGACTGAAAAGAGTAAGAAGAAACGGGATGCATGCAAAACATTTTGTACAAGACAAGAACGTGAACAAGGCTCTAAACTTGTCAATGTCAAACGAATATGTGATAATAGATGCAGTTATGATAAATAAAACTTCTATTTAGTAAATGAATTTCTGCTACCTTTTATCACATGAATAATAATATAAGCTACTAACAACGTCAGTTGTTCTTCATAAGTCAATGGTATCATTTAGTTTCTTCTTTCTTTTGAAATGTTAATTCTTGCAAATGTACCTGATATTTTAGACTTATAAACATAAGAAGGATCCATCTCAATTCAAAATATTTTACTTCGTTCTAGAAAAGAAAGAGTCTGACTCGCAGAACGAGATTTTCGAAACTCACTGAATATGCTCTGTACTTATATTATATTATCTTTCAATTATCACTTTCGTGTCTTAATACTCTGTATAAAATATATATAACAAAACAACAGAGAATTTGTGACGTCTATCTCGTGATAACAACTATTGTCATTTGTTGTCATAAAATATACGCCACAATCTTAACTACGTCTTTAATTCTCATATCTCGAACCTTTTTTTCACACCAATTGCTTATCATGCTGCTGACACATGAGATATAGACTGAAGTAGCAAATTCTTCGATCAGGTTCTTGGTGTATCATATCAGAGAACAGAACTACAATGTATTATGGTAAACATGTTTGTTAGATATATGTACGTTATTTCGTAGATAAAACGTTCTTCTTTTCTTCTTTTATAAATAACTAACAATCATCATCATCCAATAACTCTTTTACGGTCGTTAACAGATACATACATAAATATCTTGCAGTATATATAAAAGTAGTATGTAAGTAAAAAAAACACCCTCAAAAAAAAGCAGTAACTTTGGATAAAATAAAAGCATATATAACATTTTTTAAAAATATAAGAAAAAAAATCTTTTAACCGAATAACTACATTTTGTACAATTTAGTTTTAGATTAAAGTTAATTTTTTCAATAATCTTTCTGAAATAAGAGAAAAAATATGAGCATATCGATCGGTTTTATTGGTAAGTACAATACGACAGCTATACTAACAAAAAACATCGTTTTTTATCAGTATTTGGTAGAATAACGTCTTAGAAAATCGGTTTGAATTATATCTTGCACAGTGATCAGAGAGAAAACCGTCAGTTTTACGTACCAACTGTAAACCAGCATCTTCAAATAGATATGTGAACGATTAACCTTGACATGAAATAATTAGCGAACTTTCACATTCACGCTGTTAATTTCGTTTTGCATATATTCTTGATGTTTTTAGTATTTTTCTTCATTATTACAAACATTTCGTGTTATCCTGTTAACGACAACGATGATAACGATAATGATAGAGAGTTCAAATTAAGACTTCGTTCATTAATAAATCATTTGAATGATGAATCAAATGAAGAACAAATGGAAAAAATACGATCATTAGGTAAGCGAATATTTTTCTTAATAAATGATCCAAAAGATCATCTATTCAAGCACTTTTTTCTATCTCTTAGAGAGTGATGATGGTGATGTCCAAGGAGGTTATGAAGACGATGATGGAGCTTATGAGAAACGTCAAGCTGGTCATGGTACAGTTGATTCGCAAAGTAAATGCGAGATTCTTTGTATTGGAAAACATCGTCAACGTGGGAAGAAAATTCTACAAGCAAAGAAAGCTTGTCGAACAGAATGTCCTATGATGCCAAAAAAAACCAGGTTACAAGGGATATACTAATCGCAAACCAAAACGCAACTGGTTAGATGAAAATGATATGGACAATTATTCATTATTGAACAATAATGACGAAGAATAAACGAGTTATTAAATTATTAAACGCAAAAAGAACAAATGAGGCTAAATCTTTAAGGCTTTGTTTTCTAAGATAACTAATTTTTTTCTTCTACAGTGCTTTTTATACAATACTCAACAAATAAATAAATAGTAGAGTTTTTCAAATAGGTATGAATGATACTTTTTCAATTGATGTCGTTTTCGTTATTGATGAAGTAAATGGAAATCCTGCTTGCAATCTTGTAAGGTATATTTTTAATTGTTTAATTTTGCAAACTCATTAGACCGAATAACGTTTATGAAAATTATGCTTCCAAGACATACGTTGCATAATCTTCATTTTCTTTTTTTAAATCGAACTTGTCAATGTTTGTACCATGATTCTCAATAATATCTTTTATTTCACGTTTCTTTAAAGTTCCCTCTCACCCTAAAAAGCTACTTGGGTGATAATAAGCCCGATCTTATAAGCCCGAAGCTTTCAAAGAATAGTGTACTAGGCTAACGTGTTTACAAAATACATTTCAGATCTCTAGGCACAACCGTTCTCGAGTTATAAGAGTTATAAGATTATCAAAGGCAAAAAAGAGATAGATGGCGTTACAAAGATTTCGCCTCTGAGAAAACAGCCGGAGAGCTCGAGGTTGTTACATGTAGTGTGGACGATAAAGAGAAATAACGAAACAGAGCCAGATTTTCGAGTTTTTTATTCAGAAATCAGCCATACGCGTTTTATTCCAAAAATCCGAAAAATCGTTCGGGAGTTTTCTAGAAATCTTTGCTTGCAGGAAAAAAATAATGCCTAATTTAAAAATCCGGCTCAGTTACGTTGTTTCTATAGGTCATAGAAAAAAAATTATCAATTTCTGAGGCAAGGCTGAAGAAAAATCTTTGTAATGGTGACAGTGGCCGACACAAAAGTGATTTCGAGAAAAATGCAAAATACTTTTTACTTTGTTTTTCGATCAAATATTAGAGATTGATCAACATATAGATGAAGTTTATGGAAGTTTTCTATAGATTATCGATTACGACGAATCTAACGGACACGTGATCTATCAGTGCCGCACATATGTCACCATCTATGAATATCATCTACTTTTCTTGTGAGATCAGAGATGTTATATAGGTTTTCCAACATGGAAAATTCAAAGCATGTGTTTCTGAATGTCTGTGACCTTCTCACCCCTCGGCTCGCATACGCTCAGGTCCGCTCCGTTACTGAGATGCGAGATTTTTTTTGTAAAAACTGACCCTTGTTGATTGCTCCGAAAGAAAGATTGTAACTTTATTACACAGGCAGCTGTAACTTTATACTAAATTCTCGACAACTTTTGGCACTGAGATTACTATCACGGGTGGAGACCGTGCGCAAATTCTGGACTTTTTTCATTTTCACTCATGTCGGACTTCGGATTTTTTCACGATTTATACCAATGAAAGCGAAGCTCGCACCAACAGACTATATTGAAACTACTTATGGTTATTTTAGTCATAATGGCATGATTATAGGTAGTCTACAAAAAAACTTTTTCTTCAAAAAACTGCAGCTAAATCTGTTTCGTCTCGATATGTGTTTGTATACACTCACTCACATTCCGGTCGTACGATATATTTATTTTCTAACTCGATAATATATCACAATCACGGTAATACAATGTGATGGCACTTGGATCATGATCAGCATACTCTATAACCTGTATAACATGTTGTCCTTCGTGAAAAGAAAAGTTATTTTTTCTCAGTGATGGTGAACTAATACCAACAAATATTACTTCTATATAGCTGTATACATGTACATTAGACTCAGCATGGTCGATGACCTATAAAAAATCTTTGAAATATTCTTTTACTTTAAATCGCAAAAGAACGTATAAAAAAATGTTTCTTTTTTAGAAGGGCTTCCAGAAAACTCCTTAGAAAACCCCTAAAAATCATTTGTAGGAAGACCAAAATTAGTTCATTCAATAGAGAACATGTTGGGCTATTTAATCATGTATTTATCTCAAAATCGATATTTTTGATGAAAAATGATGTTTTTAGGATGGAGGGAGCCGAGCCTTAACACTTACTATTTAGTTCTTCTTTATGTCTTCTCATCTTCGGAGATGTCCGTCCACCACATGATATCTTACGTCTTAATGAATCGTTGACTAAGTTGTAGTTAGTTTCAAACCTAGGAAACTCAATAGTAAATTGTAAATATACCTTCAAACATTTTCAGACAACTTCAATAGAAGAAAAATCGACAAAAATCCGTAGAACTTCAGATATAAACTCAAACTCCTTAATTCTTCGAATATCTAAGAGTTTTACAGAACGAATGGATCTTTTTTTTAAATCCGACTGTTTTGAGATTTACATAAGTTACGTAACCTGCGTAACAACCAGAGTTTAGTATAATCCGTTTCGATCTCAAACAACTGATAGTTTATCACGAGTTTTTGAAACCAACTTGTACAGAGCGCTCCGATTTATGGAGAAAACTTTGTAAGAGATCTATAAATTCCACAAAACATTCGAACTACATGGAAAATAGAAATACTGAGCTAATTGTTCATTATGTGACATTCCGTAATATATTGAACAACTCAAGTAGAAAAAACAGTCGAAATTCAAATGAGTATTTTAATAAAAAGAAAGAGCCTAGTTTGATACATATTGTCAAACGTTCAGACACAGATAGTCCATCACAAACAAAACTGTATTTTATTTCTTAAACAGTGAACGTGAATGAATTTCTCTATATAAACTGACGCTCTTGATGGAATTAAAAAGTTTAATAAAGCTCTGACTTACCTTGGAGGATGGATGAACAGCACTACTTTTTTGCGTAAAAAAACTAATGGCCTTGAGCGATCGACCATATTCATTACTATCAGTAGTAGCTTCCAATGATGGTGAGTATATGCACTGTCAACTTGACATTAAACCCATCTCATTTAATCACAAACAACTATAACTAAAATGTTGATACCACTTAGGATGGATGCTTTCAAGATTTCTCATAACATCACCACTTAAACATCGTTATTGTAATGTCTGCTGTTTAAACAAAAAGTATCAATGTTTAACTAACATTTGAAAGGCTTGAGATTCTCCGTAAGTGATTACTTAAAGAAATTTAGAGAAGCACCTCTGCTGCATACGATGAAGTGTTTTTGTTAACGTTTACGAAAAACACAAAAATAGCTTAACGACTAGAAACAATAATAATAATAATAATAACATTTGTAACTTTTATAGCTTTCACTCACTCATTTTTATTTAATCCAGAACGCGCTACTTTCATGGCTACAGTCGATCATTTTAAACTTCCATCACGCAATACTCTCTCACGTTCATCTAATGTGACATTACCCATTTTCTTATCTACTACCTATGATGCTTATAAATATCAAAGACAAAAGACAATATATGAAGAAAATATTTCATCTATTCATAATTTGCAAAAAAAAATGAAATATCATGATTTGACCCATCAACATACAAACTCGAGTTCCATGGTGCCGTTGGATCCGATAAAGACAACAAGAGCTGTTACGCCTTCACTCTTATCTAAACGGAATGAAATATCTAATGCAAAACTGATAGTAGAAAATAAAAATAATTTGCGTAGTCTACATCTGTTCGACACACTATCGAATCATGTACAAATTAAACCGGTTTTAGTTCAAAATGATCATAATAATTTAACATCATGGCAAAAATATTGGCTTGCTACACACTCATTTCAGACAAGGTATGTATTACAATAGCAAGTTTCAGTGCAAATCATTTTCTTTTTACTTCTAGACGAAATTCAAACCAAACTGAAAACAAAAGTCCTGAGCCAGTTGTTCATTTTGTCACACTTCGTGACATATCGAACAATCCAAGTAGAAAAAACAGTCGAAATTCGAATCAGAATTTTCAAAATAAGGAATCCAGCTTGATGGATATTGGCAAACATTCAGATACAGATAGTCCATCACAAACAAAAACGGATTTTATCGGTTCATCTGATTCAGAATATGTATCATCACATCAGCGAGATTCAACAGAAAGTATGTTTAAATCAGCAACTGCGATCTCAGAATCTTTTCAAGATACTAGTGTAGTGTTGGACAATATTAATGTGGAAAAATCACAAAGTGAGACAGCAAGTCCACTAAATACTCAACGGCACAAATTACCCCTAGCAACCCGATCTGAGATAATCATATCATCAGCAATCAATATCAAGCCTAGAATTATCCTAAAAAAAGACGTTATATCGGCCACCACTTCAACAATCATAAAAGCAAACAAATTATCTCAAAAAATAGTTCATACTCGTTCAGATAATGCCAATAATACTCGTCTCACGTCGACCCCAAAACAAGAAAAAGGCAAGTTACAGCAACACCAACAGTCATTTGACGAACTTTCGTGGGTCTCTACCCAATCACGGACGAAGAAAGCAGTTAAACCAACGAGCAGCACCAATACGAAAAAACCCCGTTCATTGATAGCAAAATCGAAACATCCAATATCAGTTTTTATTCCAACATCCAATATCAAAGCAAAAGCGAAACCAGTGACGGAAAAAGTGAACAAGAGTCAACATGAAAAAGAAAACTGGACGTTACCATACGTTGGCGAACGATACGATCCACCTGCTCCGTGCGTTTCACCATCGGTATCAGAGCATTCCAGTTCTGTAATGTATATGTCTGAACATGCGACTTGAAACATAAAATCGCTCTTCCATCTAATGAGACTGCTTCCTTCTTGTATATACAGCAAAAAAGCTCTTTTTCGTCGTTTGAATATGCCGTATATATAAGAAATTTGCATTATATTTTATGTAATTGATGTCTCTGCTACTAACTTGCAGTAATCTAATGCATATGAAAGGAAAAACTCTTACAAAAAAGCATTAAAAAATTCCGGCAATAGAGACGTACTTAGCGGGTATCTGCACCAAATAATTGGAAATTTTTACCATAGAGAGCATTTAAAATTTTTCTCCTTATTTCAGGGAGGAACATTTTTCAGGAGACTAGCCAAGCAAGCAAAAATTCTTCACGAAAAAAATCTCGCCTCATGAAAGATGAGCCCGTACGACCCAGAAGTCAATTATAAGTGCGAGCACCCAGTATTCACTCGTGCTCATCCATCTCTGAGATCCATCCATCGTATAATCGGGCGTTTATTTACTTGTTAGATCTTGCTAAATCTAACCTTCTACCCAATTAGCCAGCTTCAACTTAGTAATGAAGTAGACATTAGCAGCGGGATATTGACAGCCAGATTAACAGCCCAATTAATCAACTCAAACTAGTTTGAGACATAAATTGGTTACATAGAAAATAATAAACTAACCATGGTAAAAACCTTTTTATCTTGTCTCTAACATGCTTCATATCTACTAGTCGATAAACTGGGCGATTGCAGCTAGTTATGACCATAGCTACCTCGGTTGGCTTGTTCGCTAAGTGGTTACCCTCGATGATCGCTTCTCAAACCATTCTGAAGTAGATTAAACTGTCGAATTTTAGAGTAAACTTGTTCAGATGCTAGCGAAATCGAGTCGTAAATCTTGTACATCAGCTAAAACCACCGATTATAACTCCTTTTTTATTCGGACACTATAAAACTGATCCCTCTACGCGCTCCAATAGAAGCACACATAGATAAACCGAATCGGAATAATTTTTCGCCAATAAATTGTTATAATTATTCATATTATAGTCAATTTCAAGTGCAGACTTAAGTACTAACTTATTCATTAATTAAAAGGTGGTATTTGCCTATTTTTTTAAAACCATATAAAACACGATAAATAAAAAAAGAACTAAAATATTAAATACGTTCCTGTTTTATTATATTTGAGCTATTTGTAAAGTTCAATTGTCCATTTATTGATGATGATGATATACGACGCTTAGTTGTACAAACATAACATGTTGAACAATTGCTAAAACCGTCGTTTGTTTGTTCATCATAAATATGATCATTTAATACGGATGATTTATGATGATTCAACATCCTTGACATTTCGTCATTATATAATTGACTACTGTCACTTTGCTGTTGATCGTATGTAGGGTGACATGTATTATTTACCAGTTTTTTATTATTATAGCGAACGGATGATCGGTGAAAAATTACCGATTTATCTGTCGTCGTACATGAACAATTTAACGGTAAATAATATGATTGAAAATCATTTGTATTGTTGAGATACTTTATACATTGTTCACAATAGATAATATAATGAAATGACTGTTCATCATTGATTTGTTCATATTCATGATGATCACCATTATTTGTAATTAATTGGCAGTTTTTATGATTATTCTCAATTAACGGATCAGACGGATGATAATCGGGAGTAGTAAGTGATGTTGTTTGTTCACTACTACTGCAACTATCAGTAAGGAATTTCTAAATAGAAAAATTTCTAAATAATTGAACAACAGATTATATTTCGAGTACACCTTAGTTCTTAGCCATATAAAGATTAAAAGTATATATCAACTTACTGTTAAATGTTGACTAACACAATCTATCATTTCTGTTGTATAATGTTTACGATTGTTTTTCCTTTCTCGTCTCATCAATCGACTTCTATAAATAAAAATAAAAATTGTTGAAATTGTACTTAGTGTATAAATCAGATGATAAAGTTCGTTAGCTTACAAAAAGTAATACTTTTTCTCCTACTGTACGAATAACATCAACATATTGTCATCGTTCCAGTATTAAATTAGCATACATTATTTTATATTTTTAAGCACACGCTTAGACTATATCAAATGACAAAAGTATTATATGTTTTTATTTCAACTATAGCCAGACACGTTTCATTATCTTAAATGTTGTTCACTTGTAATCGACCTTTATCAATTTGATGCTATGAAGAATATTAATCGTGTATATCTATCTACAATTTGATTTAAATAATTTCTTCTCACTCTCATCAAAGTAGATTAATAAACTGTAAAGAATATACGACGGGCTAAGATTGGATACGAAATGTGCCTTACTTCTCGAACTTCGCACACTTTTAATTAATTTTAAATTAATTTTCAAAGAATATTAAAAGATGGTGATATTATGTGTGGAGGCGAGTGTGCGAAGTTTGAGAGTGAGCCGAAGGATACCTGCTATCTTTCTTATTCTAATAAATACAGCCTAGAAGAACAGCTTCGATAACAGTTAGCCAGCTTTTGATGAGATTAGAAAATTATCTACAGATGATTCAGATAAACTCGTCTGATTGCAAATTAGCTCAATGAGCAAATGTTGTATCTCTTGTTTTCCTCTATGTTTCTTGTTCAAAACATGATTGAAATGACTCTACTCTTGAGATCGATCAACATAGATCATTATTTCTATAGCCGCACACCTGTACCAGTTATGATTTTATTATTATGATAAATAATAGGAAATAATCCTTTTATGAACGATAAGAGATCGATTTGTTCTTTTATTAAAAGGTATATAATCTAACTAATGGGGGGAAAAAGCAGGTTTATGGCAAACGATTGCGATCGTTACCTGAGGGAATTTTAGAAATACTTACGTTTGATGTTATGAGAAGATTAGTGTATGCTATCAGTAAACAGTGATTACATTAATAGAAACATGTCTGCTATTCTACCAGATGTCCAATAGTATTTTGTTTCAGTCTTTAATTTTTCGATTGATATGCAGCTCACAACAATGACTTACTTTATAATAAGAATAGTTCCCAATGTTAAAACTAAGCCAAGTAGTATGCCTAGTGAAATTGTTAGCAATGATGAGCGTTGTTTGGACGTGGTTGTAGATGATAAATGTTCATTATGATAGTGGGGACTTTTAAAAACTTGACAATAACCGTTATTTTTAAGAGTTATATAAAGATCATTCATTTCTGGTAATGGTGGTGGTCGTAACGTAAATAAAGGCGGTGGCGGTGGTGGTAACCGACACTTGATTTTACATTTTTCGTTTAGTCTCATTTATAATTTGTACATCGATACACTACAGATCTGAAATAACAAGAAATATATATTATACAGGTGACTTTTTTCCAGAAAACTTTTCGGTACGATATAGTTCATCTCTACACAACATTTTTAAATTAAATTTTACGAAAGTTTATTACAACTGTTCTCTCTCTCTTTTACATGTAAAATTTTATACTTTCTTTTTCAAATATTTCATTTTCTTAAGCTACAGTCTATTCGAGAGATTAAAATCTACACTTACTGTTTAAATTTATAGACGTTCTCTTTTTTTTTCGTAACAGGACTTAATTGAGTTTTTTGTTGTCGCTTGAAGCTATCTGACAAGCTAAGTTATGATAAATATATAATATTATAATCGGATTAATAGCGATTAAAACAGGGAGTAAACATCGTGTAACAATTTAGCCTACATAAATATTCATCATCAAATTATAAGATAGAAATTAAAACATCTGCACATACATCTAATTGATAAAAACAACAGAATGATCAAACGAAGAAGAAAACAGGTGACTATGCATTTTTTGTCTACTACGGAAACTCTGCGTAACACATTTGACTACTATACGCATCTTGATTTTAATTTTATTATTAAAGGAAAGAAAGGAAAAGAAGGATCGTTCATTTTTTTTCAAATCGATCAGTGCGCACAAAAGAACGTAACTATATAGTGTTGTCTGATTAACGAATAACGGCACAGTTAATCTATAAAATAGCAGAAAAGAAGAAACAAATAATCAAAGAGAGAAAGAGAAAGGTTCCCATTTCTTCTCTTCATTTTTCTTACTAGTTATATACATGCACAAACTGTATATAATTTGTTTTCTTCTTTTAACAATAGTAAGGGAGAATGTACACGAGAAATATAGAATATACCTGTCAGGATCCGTTATGAACACTTGCTTATTTTCCCTCCTTGCTTGCGCGTTCTAGTAACCATGAAGAAATGTCTGCTCGTGATCGTTCATGAGCATTAAGGGAACATATTTTTAATCCTGTTGACTAAAAAATCTTTTTAGCTTTCATGTTAAACCCATCTACAATAGACAAATTAAATACGTTAGGCAACACCGATTATCTTGAATCGAATTTTAGTTCATTCTGGAATTTGTAAAACATATATCTAGGTCCTAGTTTAAAAATGAATCTGAAGATTGAGTTGGTGAGTGGTGGATGATTTTTTAAAGTAAGTATCAATTACTCACCACTCACCCTTAAAATTGTCTCCCTCATCGGCGTACAGTACTCATAAGTGATACTTGTTCTTGGCGAAAATTTCTTGTTATGTAATGGAGTAGATGAATGAGAGCGAGAGTATGATTTTAAAACTTCGGCTTTCACGTTAAGAAGATCAATCCAACCGATAAGTCTATTTCAAGCATATGTGAATTCTCTAAATCCTGGAAGTTTTTCGTTCTTCCTCAGCTGAGATAAAGGTTTTTCTCGTATGCTGCATGCTTTTCATGACGATCATCGTTCGAAACTCTTTTACGAAAGTTCTACCAACTTGTGCCGAAAGAGCTCCTTAGATCAACCGGCAACACGATTATTTTACATCATATAAGAGACTTGTTGTTTTTGATAGGCTTTCCATTTAAGAGGTATACAATAAAAGCAAATCAATCTCGAAGAGTAAATAAGTCTTCTCTCACCCTTGCTAATATGAACAATTAAGATGAGAACTGCTTTAAAATATCTCTCTGTCCAGCGTTAGTTCAAGTTTCTAAGACTTGAGCTTTTCTGTAACGAAAAAGCGGTTGTAAAACAAAATTTATTTATTTCTCTATTCAGTTGGAATAAATATTTCAGATTATCCCTCATCCTCCCGACAATAAATCGATATTGTCGCTTGATTAATGGAGAACATCTATCATTTTGTTAACATTAATATATCGTTTACGCATTTTCTACTTAACTATGTCTGTGCCGCAGGAAATCGAGCACATTGTCTTAATAACCGGATGAGCTTGTTTTAAAGGAACAATACAGTGACTTATATATGGAAAAAACAATTCTTTTTGTACAATCCAATGGTAAAAGTCTTGTACAAAATAAACAAATATCTTCTTTTCATGTGTATAAACTAAACATGATCTGTTTTCATTGATAACTGTGCCGATGAATGGAGAAGATCAGAACTATACATGAATAATTAAACTGAAAACAGACAGCGATAATTAAACATTCATTTTATCTTACAATCAACAATTTGTTCCTATACCTGTTTTTCTTTTCTTTTCTTTCTGAAGAAACGACAAGTGTGAGATATTCCAGATGTAATATACAATAATGCCAGGCTTACCATATTGAGAGCACTTCTAAGCAAAGTACAAGTGGTCAAGAATTTCAAGATACTCGAGAACTAGGGAAGATAAAGTTTCACAATTTCTTGTGAACATCTTTACTACAAGTTTTAATAAGACTAGCTCTATAAATTTCTCGAGGCATCGAAACTTCTAAGTTTGAACACCCCCGTTGAAAACCCAAACGACTCTAAAAAAACACATTTCTTTAGAAAAAAAAGCGGAATACACCTCTACTCTTGCCTTATGATTAACGTATATGCTTTTATCGAATATATGCAGTTACTAAAAATCTCGTCTTAGCTACTGGACAGTTTTCTATCAAAATTAAACGTAATCTAAGACTTTACGACACTTTGTTAATAGAAAATGAGGTAGAAATTCACTTATTAATTCAAAAAGTCTTATATATGATGTCAAACTTATACAGCTAAAAGAACTACTAGCAAATGTTCACCCTCTGGACATTCATTTTTTATATCTATCATATGTCATATAAAAACTGTATGTATGATGAGAGAAAAAAATATGATTAAAAAAAAAGAAAAACATTTTTCAATTCAATTTGGCAAAGATGATGATGACTATGATCAATTTTTTTCAATCAAAAAAAGAAACACTAGGAGTTTAATTCGATAATAAAACAGGATGTACAGTTGTCATACAACGAGAAAAAAAAGAAGGTCAAGCATATTTGTACCAGTAAATTTAACTGGAGCAGAAGGGAAAAAGATTGCTAGATTTGCTGTGACATATTTGTCAATTTGATGAGAATTGTATAGTCTAAATATTTCTATTGAAGAACTAGTCACGCTTTAATAATTATACTGTATAGTAGTTCAATATTAATCAAATCAAAACAATCCTTCATAAAAATATTTTACTCTAGACCCTGTTTTAGATTTAGTATATAAAACTTCTTTTCAATTTAGTTATATTTATTGAGCGGCAATGTTCACGTCGTTTTGTTGCACATTAGGAGTCTATTATATTTACATTCAGTTTGTGAAATCGAGTTACATAAACGAAATTTTTTTTACACAGCTATTATCTTTTCTATTGAACAGCAGGCCATCCATGTACTTTATGTTTATATTTGTCCACTGTTTACAACTAGCTAAGGTATAATCAAGTCAATGAACACGTTCTTACATCAACCATTCATTCATTCATAGTAATCGAAGTTATAAATTCTGTTTCTATTATCGTTCCACACAGGTACCTACGTAAAGTCAGCATTTCATCTGCAAGAATGATGAAGCAATCGTTCAAACAAATCTTTAAGCAAAATTCAGTCTTCCACTTTCACATAATGAGCGATTTTAATGTTTTATGACAGTATAAGTAAAAAAGGGAACACACTTTAATCATAACCATTAAGAAAATGACAGCATGTTTTATAACACTGACGTGTGACCTTTTTTTTTCCTGTTCATTTATTCTCTTTTTTTGCTCTCAATTATTTTAAAAGATTGATTGAATTTTCACACATTCGACTATAGTATTTTCCTAAAAACAACACTTCTTAACGCATTTCACATATATATAAGGAAGCGATGTTATATTCGTTATTCACCCTCATCAATGGTTATATTTAATCAAGCACTGTGAACTGGACTTGAATTTGAAAAAAAAATTTTTTTCAACCATTTTTTCTTCACACTGTTAGAGGGAATGTTATAATGGGAAAAGTGTGTTAGTTTGAATCAAACTGCTTTCCTTTTTTCAGTTTTGGAATCCCAGTAGGAATGTCTAGAGCTCACTTGGCTTAATACATTTATTTTTTTCTCTGGTATAACATAAAATTGTGTTTTATTTATAATATACTCTTGAGCGATGAGTCGTCTAATTTACAAGTAAAATTTCAATCAATATCTATATTGATGTTGTAAATGAGCCATCGCTGCAGTTAAACTTCAATCATCATCAGATATCTCTTATCAGTGAATATATGTTGTTAGATCAATTTATGTATTCGTTGACAAATCTATACATTTTTATAACAATAGTCATAATCCTAAGATAGAGAACAACTTACATTTTTTTATTACTTTGACTTTTGAACTTTTCTTCTCTTTTATTTTAATTGAATATGTTGTCATCATATAAGGAAAGTGTTTATACTAACATAAATGAGTTGTGATCACTCGTAAAAAAAACGATGAACTATAATGGAGCAATAAAATGTTAACAGAAGCCATTATAAGCATTTTGATCTGAAAAAGCTTGTTTCTCACTCGTTCGCGTTCAATCGATTTGTAATAAACATCAAAAGTTTCTGATAATAGAGTCAAAGTATAAGTTCATGTTCAATGTTTAACACTTTCACTCTCTCTCTCTTTTATTTGTCAATCTTGAAAAAACGAAACAGTTCAAGGATATAAAAAATGTTATGTTCTAAGCCGAAAACATGGATTGAGTGTGTTTATTCAGTATATTGGATCAATCTATAGAACTCATCAAAGGCAAGATTAGCCCCTTACAAATTCACAACGTACAGCTTCTGAGAACTCTTCTATGAAATTAAAGACGCTTTTACAGATTCTGTTCGTTTTTTAATAGAAAATTAGTACACAAAATTCTGTTAGTATTGTTGAACTTATGAAAATTTAATTTTTAACATCGAGTATAAATGTTATTGCCACTCTTTTTTGGAGAAGCAACTGTTGTACAGAAATTTAAGCTTAA